TTTAAAGACAACCCTAAAGATCAAGCCATGAATTTTGCCAACTTTTTTGGCTGCGATCAGCGGTCGGACAAAATGCTTGACTGTCTCCGGGGTCAGGACAGGAACGCACTGATGGGTAAATCCCGGGACCGCGACCTCGAGCGCAATGTCCAGCCCTATTGGTTCAGACCTGTGGTCGACCGTAACCTGACCTCATCGGGTGTGCTCAAGGACTGGCCGGAGTCACTGTACCGAAACGGACAGTTCAAAAAGTGCTCGTACATGATTGGTAAGGCAACCATTATTGTTTTTATTATTGTGTAAATTAGTTATTTTAGTAGTAGATAAATTTATAAAATAACCTATTTTAAATTAAACACAAAACGAAATATTCATTGTGTTGAGTTCCATTATATTAATATTTTATCAATTTAGTTTTGAAAAATATATTGCTATGATTTAAGTTACAGTTTATTGGTATAGAAACAAACAATGTAATTAACATTACATTACTGTTAATTTTATTTAACTACTTTTAACTTCATATAAGATTAAATAAACAATGTACAATTCAATTGCTTTATATTTTAACATTTTAATTTTTAGCCTAATATTTAACTGGAGCTAGACTTGCATAACATTTCAAATGTAACCTAAGTGTTATGATAAAAACTTTTACAAGTTTTGACTAATGTTTGTAAAGTTATAGCAACTATTATCAATTTAGAAACGAATTAATAATACCATTTGTTACGGATGTTTAAATAGCATTAATTGATTAATCTGTGTACATTAATAATCTAGACTAAATATTTGGTTGCTTTACAACATAGGGTTCACACGTAACGAGGGATCCCTTGAATATTACCTGCAGAAGGAAAGGGCGGACAACCGGCGGACCAATGAGGAGAAGATCGCTTTCCTGATCCGACCCTTTCTGAAGGAATGGGCGTCGGAGGACGTGATCGCGACCGTCATCAATTATCAGTATTTTGGCAAAAATTTTAGCAGGAATGCCCTGTCATCGCAGTTTGCTAATGGACCACAAAGTATCAGAAATAACGCACAGTTTAATAGTTTGAATAATCAGATGCCCTATCAAAGTGGTATACAAAATAATTATCAAAGTAATATCGCCGCGGGTGGCGGTCAAGAGTATCAGAATGATCAAATTTTGGTTGAGGTAAGATGGACTTTTTGTTTTAATATTTGTGATTTTGTGTACTATTTTTGAGCATAATGTGTTTACCGTAATAGTATTTTTTACAATTTTTGTTAGTAATCATTTGTGATTTACAAAATTGAGTTATGTTTGATTTAATTAGACTAATAGTTAAACTTATCAAATTAATTGTCAAAATATATAATAGTTAGAATTTAAATAGATAGTCAATTTTTGGGTGCACCAAAAATTTATATTATCTACATAGAGTTATATTTAAATAATTATCAATAATGTTAGTTACAGTTCATAATTAAATTCAAATTTTGTAACAGTCAAGCAAAATAAAGTTGTAAAAAATAAATAATTAATTAGAATTAACTATTTATAAAAATTCAATTAACAAAAGCTAGTCTACAATCTTTGTTAGTAATCATTCGTGATTTACAAAGTTGAGCTATGGTTGATTATATTAGACTAATAATTAAACGTGTTGAGGTACACCAAATATTTATATTATCTACTTATAATTATATTTTTAAAATTATCAATAATGTTAATTACAGTTTATAAATTAATCAAAATGGCATCTTGTTGGTAGCCCAAATGTTTATATTATTTTCATAGCGTTATATTTAAACAACTACCACTAATGTTAGTTACAGTTCATAATTCAATTAAAATTTTGTTAGTTAAGCAGTTAAGCAAAATACAGTTAGAAAAATATAATTAATGAAAATGAAATATTTATTAAAATTCAATCAACAAACTATTTTACTAACTTCAAAAATAAATATAGCCTCAAATATTAACTTTACACAAAAAATCTATCAAATAATGATTATTAATAATTGTTACCATCATTACACAATCTAGCTTATGGGCGATTTTCTATACATCGCGCCCTCAGACTTCGTGGCACGACTGCACTCTATGGGTGGGGGGAAGGTATGGGTGTATGCGTTTGAATTCGAGGGAACTCGTTCCCTGGGACCCATACAGAAAAACGCCAAGATGATTTCTAAACAAACATACGGCGTAACCCATATGGACGACATGTTATATGCATTCAACACACCCTACGCCCCGGACGCCGCATCCACTGAACGTACTTTATCTAGCACATACGCCCGTATGTTCTTTGAGTTAACCCGTTTTGGTTACATACCTGACGTGTACAACAGCTTTTACCAGTGGCGCCAATACCTACACCATCAGCCCTCGTA